GAAAATAATTTTTACCTTGTATTCATCTTTTGATGAATTTTTTTAGGTCAAAGATTCACAAGCAAGGACGAGAAGCCATATTGTGCAAATTGCTATGGTGAACTATTTGCGAAACGATGCAATGCATGCACAAAACCCATCACTGGTAAGCTACCGTAATCTCACGAGCTTTGGGACCACCCACCTATCGGTACGTGTTCTAGGCATCGGTGGCGCAAAGTTCATCTCTTTTGAAGATAGACATTGGCATAATGATTGCTTCATATGTGCTCAGTGTACAACGTCATTGGTAGGAAAGGTAAGCATTTTTACTTTGTCAATCGATATATCGAATGATGCTCTCTTTCTAGGGATTTATCACCGATGGCACGGATATTCTGTGTCCGGAATGTGCGAAAGCACGACTAATGGCCGCAAATTCATAACCTCCGACTATACTGACGTGTGATCCCTAATACTCATTCATTCATTCGTTCATTCATTCATTTCTTTGCGTGGCATTTGCTTTTTGAATCGTACATGTGTTACAGTTCCGCCTCGTTTTATCCATGTTCTATTCATATATTCTGCAATTTTTCGTAACATTAGTGACATTTTGTTACTGAATTCGCCTCGCGTTATCGCTGCCCCTCTGCTATTGCAATTTCTATGAAAAACTGGAGACAGACACTCGACCCGGTAACTGTTTGTCAGCGAGCAACAGCAGGCTCCGCCCCAATTTGCATTTTCATATTTTCAACCCTGCAGTATACGCATCTTAGCCTCTGAAAGGGTACTATTTTTATGTAATCGCATTTTGTGAATCCAGTAAAAACACCAACATGTCTAGTCACTCACTTTCCATCAATCCCCGTGGAAAAATTTGTCCCCGAAAATGTAGGTTTTGCCCAATCCTCAAAATTCTACTCTCGCTTTTAGTAGCTCTAAGCCCCTCCTACCAATTTAGCGTGTCCACTACCGAATCACTCGCGCAGCTGTTGGACAAAGAAAACTCGTCCGAAAGATCCGAGTGCATTCAAAGCACATCGAAGTCAGTATGCGAGTTCTAGTATACGGCGCTAACGACACGTCAGGCTCAGCAGCGTAAACTCGTCCTCCCACTCTGTTTCTTTTTTTT